TACAGTGGGGGAAATAAGTATTTGACCCCTTGCTGATTTTGCAGGTTTGCCCACTTACAAAGAATGCTTATTTTTCCTCATCAGATGGTTATCAATTTTTATAAATTCATATGATGTGATTTTCTGGAATTTTCTTTGGGATTCTGTCTTTCACTGTTAGAATGTACATATGATTAAAGTTATAGATCGTTGCATTCTTTGTAAGTGGGCAAACCTGCAAAATCAGCAAGGGGTCAAATACTTATTTCCTCCACTGTAAGTATGGAGTTGAAAGAATACTTCTACTTTGACTCAAGTCAATTTTTTTATATGGTACTTGTACTTCTACTCCGGTACTTTATAATCTCTGTTCTGATGCTGCTGTGTTTCAGGAGGAGGAGGAGGAGGTGCAGCTGGGGGGGGACGGCTGTGTTAAAGAGGAGGAAGCAGAGCAGGAGATTCCACATTAGACCTAAAGGACGCAGAGACTCTGAGAATCCTCAGCCCAGACCCGAACCCTCGACCGGACCCCCGGAGTCTGGAGCAGAGAGGGAGTTTAGACCCAAATGCTATTAAAAGGTGAACGCCTGAGACTCAGGGGGCAGTTTGGAGGATTTCCAGGTGTTAGACGTCCTCAGTTGGGAGCAGGAGCCCCAAGAGGAGCCCCATGAGGAGCCTGAGAAGCCCCAAAAAAGAGCCCAATGAGGAGCCCCACAAAGAGCCCCATGAGGAATCCCACAAAGAGCCTGAGGAGCCCCAAGAGGAGCCTAATGAGGAGCCCCATGAGGAACATGAGGAGCTTCATTAGGAGCCCCAAGAGGAGCCTAATGAGGAGCCCCATGAGGAACATGAGGAGCCTGAGAAGCCCCACAAGGAGCTCCATGAGGAGCCTTAGAAGCCCCAAGAGGAACATTAGGAGCCCCATGAGGAGCCCTGTAAGGAACACCATGTGGAGCCCCACAAGGAGCCTTAGAAGCCTCATGAGGAGCCAAACGAGGAGCCCCATGAGGAGCCCCATGAGGAGCCTTAGAAGCCCCACAAGGAGCCTGAGGAGCCCCACAAAGAGCCTGAGGAGCCCCAAGAGGAGCACCATGAGGAGCCTTAGAAGCCCCATGAGGAGCTTCACAAGGAACCTGAGAAGCCCCAAAAAAGAACCCCATGAGGAGCCTTAGAAACCCCATGAGGAGCTTAACGAGGAGCCCCATGAGGAGCTTCATGATGAACCTGAGGAGCCCCACAAGGAACATGAGGAGCCCCATGAGGAGCCCCATGAGGATCCACACAAGGAGCTCCACGAGGAGCCTTAAAAGCTCCATGAGGAGCCCTATAAGGAGCCCCATGAGGAGCTTCACAAGGAACCTGAGAAGCCCCAAAAAAGAGCCCCATGAGGAACCTGAAGAACCCCACGAGGAGCCCCATGAGGAGCCCTATAAGGAGCCCCATGACTCCTGTTTACAGCACCTGGTCGTATTCGAACTGTTTTCTACGCTTATCGGATCACTTATATTCTTATTTTATCGGCTAATTATTCACAGCTTATTGACGTGTGATTTATTTTCTTCGGTTTTAGTTCATTTTTAAGCTACAGATCGACCTTCTCGTATCTTCTCGGAGCTCTTTAGCTCCCTGAATCATCCGATTTCTGACCAAAGTTGTGAAACTGGAAACAGGACATGAACTGAGACTGAACATATAGAGAGAGTTTTTGGTCTAATGTCTCCCGTGACAAAGCAAAGCCATGAATTCCTATATTTTTTTAGCGCTTATTGATCATCACATTTGACTAGTTCCAGTATCAGGATCCAGATATTCACGATCTATCTGGAAAAAACCCTCAAAGTGCCAAGAATCAGATGGACTAAATGCACATTAAATGTATTCGTCTCTCCCTCCGTGTGTTTTTTGCCTCGTTTCTGGTCTGAAGTCGTTTTTCTGAACGTTTATCTGCTCGTTCTAGATCAATAAGGACGATTTTATCACGTCTTTACTGAAAAACTCAGCCTGTTTTCACTCAGAATACAAACACAATATAAACACACACGCATTTATTTTACATCCAGTGATTTAATAATCTGATATTTACCACAGAACTCAGCTATTTAAGGGGGAATTGTCTGATGTTTTTTTGCTCAGGTTGCAAAAGTATTTAGATGCCAGCTTGTTTTCTTATTTTAGATATTTTTTACTGGAGATTAATCCTATTTCCTGTTTTCTATCAGTCTGAAACATTAAAATAGATGTTATAAAAATAATATAAAATAAATACTATATCTAAAATGTATTTCTATATAAAATATGTAAATTAATATTTAAGAATATAAAAATATGTATTATATGTAAAAAATATATTCAATATGTATAAAATATAATTAAAAAATATATAATTTATGATAAAGTATGTATAGTATACATAATAAAAATATAAATTATAAAAATAAATGTGATTCAGCTTCAGCCACAACATTAAAGAAAATAAACCTAAACCAGTTAGCATTTGAAGCTAAACCCTCGTGAGACGAGCCTGAGGGGTTTCCCGCCTCATACTTAAGACGAGACATTTCCCATTTGCTCTGTGGGGTGGGGGGGGGTCCTGTGGATCTCCCACTCTCTTTTTTCTCATCCTTTTTCTGTTCCAGAGCATTCAGACCCGGGTCGTCAACACGTCTCCATCCCGACATTAAACCGTCGGGGGGTGTTATTCCAATTTGTTTCAGAGGAAACATTAACTCATTGACTGGCAGACATTTTCAGAACAGAGTCCCATACTGCCAGAGTTTTTTGAGCATTTTGACTGATTTTTCAAGAGCCACAGAATAGTTTGTGCTATGACTATGTAAACACCGAACACACCAAAAGAAAGAGTAGACTCTCTTCTTTCATCAGGAAAAAAAATGTGTTTCTACCTTATTCCGTTCTTCCTGGACTTGCGTCTCACCGGCGACATGTTCTCTCATAGCGAACCGTTACCTTTTTCTTATTTGCCTACAGTCTATGCTCATCTCCCATCAAAAGTGGCACTGCCCCCTAGAGGGTCAATTTGTTACTACATACTCTGTCTAGAAGCCGATATTTACGGACAAGCTTTAGCAGATCGTCCCCCAGACACTCTCGCTGAAAAACATAAAAGACGTCTATAGACGTCTTTGGCAGCCAATGAGTTAATTTGCCCATTTCAGGGCCGGGCGGGGGGGGATATCCCACCAACCGCCCAGCCGTGAAAGACATTATCTGGGGGGTTTTGGGGGGGTTTTCGGGGGTTGATGGCGGGAGGCCTGGGCTCCCAGCACGCCGCCATTAGCCACATTAGAGCGGCGGCGGGCGCCTTAATGACAGAATCCCCCCCCCCAACCCGACCCCCCCCCCCCCAAACCCCCGTTTCCCCCGTTTCCCCCCGGCTGAACACCAAACAGCCTCAGGCTGTTCTGCTCCATAGCAGCAACAAAAGGCGGATTTATCTGCTTTTAAAGACAGAAAAAAACACAGTTTTCTTTCATATTTCAGCAGTTTTTTTGTGCTGATTTATGTGTTTCTGTTTGTAATAATTTGAATATGTGTCAATTTCCCGAGAGCCAAAGCTTCTGTCTGGTTCTGCTCTGTTCCAGATCTGTGATCAATCAGGAGGAGCTGATAGGTTTAAGAACTAGACTTAGTCCTGGTTCAGGTAGTTTTTCTTCATAGAGGCTCAGTGGGTTTATCTCTAGATTTAAAATGTCTGTTTACAGATTTAATTCATTTGGTTCTGAGGGTCCAAATGACTTATTTACAACATTTTAACTCCACAATAAGAACATGATTGGTGGAAAATATCTCAAAGCATTTTCCTTTAGATTTCAAACAGTAAAAAAGCAGTAAAAGCTCAGATTTCTGAGCTCTTTGAACACAACAATCATTTTCCTTCACTTAAAGATCTAAAAATGCTAAATTTTCAATGATTTTTCAGAGATTTGCCCAAAGATTTTTCATTTTAATGGATCCTACACAGTTTTTTAGGTTTACCAGATACAAACAGGACTCTCAGGAGGTCAAACAGGCAAAATGCAGCTCAGAAAACCCCCAAAAAACTGCCATTAGAGCACTTTATGCAGCCAAAAGTCAAATATTTGAGAGGAAAAACAGCATTAAAACAATAAAAGGGCAAAAGATCAAAGCAAAATGTGGGTTCATCGATGCAAAAAGCCAGAAGTGCACAAAAACCTGGAACACCAGGTTTTGGTTTCTACTTAAGATTTAATTAATACTATTAAGCATATTTATCCTAAATGGGAAAAAAAACTACCCGAACCAGGACAAAATATTTATTTTACCTTATGCAGCTAAAAGTCAAATATTTGAGAGGAGAAACAGCATTAAAACAAAAAAGGGGCAAATGATCAAAGCAAAATGTGGGTTCATACAAGAAAAAAGGAGCACATCAAAGCCAGAAGTGCACAAAAATCTGGAAATCCAGATTTTAGTTTCTACTAAACTGATACTATTAAGCATATTTATCCTCTATGAAGAAAAACTTCCTGAACCAGGACAAAGTCTAGTTCTTAAACCTATCAGCTCCTCCTGATCCAGAGATCTGGAACAGAGCAGAACCAGATAAAAACTGGACTCTCAGGAGGTCAAACAGGCAAAAGGCAGCTCAGAAAACCCCCCAAAAAACCTGGAACACCAGGTTTTAGTTTCTAAACTGATAATATTAAGCATATTTAAACTACCTGAACCAGGACAAAGTCTGGTTCTTAAACCTATCAGCTAAACCAGATATCAGATATTCCATTGTGCTTTTCTCCAGTGTGTTGTGTATTTCGAGTGTATTTATTTATTTCCTTCATCTTCTCACTGATTGATTTCCCCCCTTAGTGGTTTGATTCATGACAGGGCGGAAACATCAGTCTCCACTTTGCCGTTAGTGCCCCCCCCCCCCCCCC